GGAACTGTTGGGTCAAAGTTCTCAGTATAAGGCTAAAAAACATTGAGTACTGATAATTATTCTAAAACTGGCTTCGGTGGCCTTGAATAAAGTGCAGAAATAACTTGCACTATGGAAGAAACTTGAGGTAAATCTTGAAAAGAAAAATGGGCAATGATGGGGTGAAACAATAGGCATTTAAACAAATGGAATGAGAAAGAACAGGTCTTGAAACCATCTAGATGACATCCTTTCAGGTAGTGGAAAATCCAGTTGCCTTATTCTCATAGAGCTTAATTCCTGATAATTTTTGCTGCCCTTCTCTGAATCCCTCTTAAAATGTAGTGCTCAGAACTGAATACAGTACTTGAGGTTGGACCTGACCAAAGCAAAATAGAAAATAGTTTCAGACTGCATCAGCTTAAGTATAGTTTCCAAATGACAGGAATTATTTCCTATCATTTGGAAACTATACTTAAGCTGATGCAGTCTGAAACTGCATTTGCCTTCTTTGCAGTTCTATCACATTCATTTTACAGTCCACTACTATTCCAAGAACTGTCTCACATATATGATTACCAATCCAGTTGATTTTTGTTTTGTAGTATTAAATTACATTCATTTACTTTCAGCCCATTTGTCTGACCTAGAATGATTATTTTGCATTTTATTTTTGCCTTCTAGGGTTTTAGCTATCCCACCTAATTTTTTGTCATCTGTAAATCTAGTAAATATTATTTTAGTATTTTATCCAAATTATTAATAAAAATATAGAAGGATTAGAGGACCCAGAACTGAATTTTATGGTACCTGTCTTGATACTTCTCTCTACTTTGATAAGGAACTATTGATAGCACTCTTTGAATATGATTTTTGAGTACCAGCTAGGTAACAAGTGGGTATTTCTGATGCCATCCAGCCCATAATCAGCTTGCTAATGATTAAATCATTGATACTTCATCAAATACTTTGATCAAATCAAGGTAAATTATGTCTGTAGCATCACCAAAATCTAGTAAGGAAATCTCTCCCCCCCACCCCCAAAAAAAGATTAGTCTGGTAAGATTTGTTCTTTAAAAGTCCATGCTGACCTCTGGTAATTACAGACCCTTTGTGTCCCAAAATCTTTCTAGGTCTCAATGTCTATTCCCTGGTACAGCACACACTATTTCCTGATAGAGGACACAGGAGATTTTTTTTGCTGGAGAAAACTAAACCAAAACAGTAGCTCTACCTTCTCTTTGCTACCTGTTAGCATTTTTCCTTCCTCATTGAGCAGTTGCAATGCTGATTCTTTTCTCTTTAACCAAAAGCTCTCTACAACATTGCCAGAATCACTCATCTGTACTTCTGGGTAGGAATAGTTATTTCTAACTTACAACTCCTCTTTTGTTGCTTCTGTTCCTTTTAAACAAATGGTATCCCTAGGAGGTATATTCCAATCATGGGGCTCAACTGACTAGGTCTGTTTTATTCCTGTTAGATTATATTTGCCCTTTGGTACTAAGTACTCAAATACATGTTGTTTATTTCTCATACTCTGAGCATTAATGTGTGGACAATGAAGGCCATGAACTTTATGAGCCAATTTGGTTTGGGTTTTTTTCCTTCTGATTTTTGTTAAAATATGCCTAAAAGTGGACTTGAGGTAGGATCTAATCAAAGCATAACAAAGTGGAATGGTTAGTTAGGGTTAAGATTAGGGCTGGAATTTTTGTTGATGAACCCTAAAATTGCATTTGTTTTTTACAGCATCATGCTACTGGCTCATAATGAAATTCATAATCAACTGGATTTGTTCTTCTTTGCTTCTCAGGTTCTTGGATTAACCAAGTGCACACACTTTCATTCAATTTTTCTTAGAAAAGGTATAGAAGGCATGATTTTTCTCAGAAATTAGGTGAATTGATAATAGCTGCAATAGTTTGATTCAGATATAAGTTTCTGAATATAGTCATTTCTAGAGCAGAAGTGAATAACCAGTTCAATTAGTCCGACCTTACTTTACTCTCATAGCTTCATTTAAGGTTGCCTGATTTGTTGAATCTTAGCATTCCATCATGTCTAAACTGATTAACTGCCTGCCAGGATTGCCCAAAGGTGGTGGTTTGGAATCCTGCTTTACAGATTATATAAACCATATGATTTTTTTTTTTTTAATTCAGACATCATGGAAGACAGGTTTAAGAAACCAAGACTGACATGCAGGGGAAAGGGATGATTTTTTATAATTGGAATGTAACGTTTCAACCATGTTAACGTACAGTGTGTTCAAGTCCATTTATTTCACCAAATGGATGCTTAACATGATTATAATTTATGGCATTTATGTTAATGGACTTGTTTTCATTTTTAGCTTTTTTAATATAATGGGTTATTTTAAAGTGGTTATACAATGCCTATCAAATAATTAAAACTTTGTGATTTGTCCATTCTTTATTATGTAATACTGATTTTTTCTATCAAGTGCGAATGTTTAGGTTCTTTAAGACCAAAAAATTGTATTTGCTCTAATATTGGTGCACTTCAACTAGATGAAAACCCAACTTCCATGTCAGGTCTTTGGGCATGGCATGAATGTTAAAGCTATCAGTTATACTTTCCAATAATGTAAAGATTAATTCTGTTCAGCTCTCTCTGTCTGAAAGAGGATTTAGTCATTAGTGTGAGACTAAAACTCAGGAAGGATTGAACTAAGTCATAAGACACAAGTGTGATTTGCAAACACTGTAGTCCCTGTCATTTCCATGTAATGTGGCATAAAGCCCTTAGCAGAGTTGATACTGGGCTAGATGATTCAGTAGACTTACCCAGTGGTCTGGTTTCCATGCTGCTCTAAGCCATGCTATGCTTAGCTACGATTTGTGAAAAGCTACATTTGGACAGGTTCATACAGCAAGTTCATGATTTATACATCATACTGGCTAAGTTTACACAACATAAGTTGAAATCTTGTTTTGGAGTTTTGTGTGAATGCAGTGTAAGGAATTTCACTGTTTCCTGTGCTATGTTTCTGTGATGGTATGTGGGAATGACCTTGGGAGACAGGACAAAGACCTGCAGCCTAAGCAACAGTCTGATACGAGGCAGCTCAGTCTGCAGGTGGAGGAAAAGCTTAGGAAGTGTTTCAGAACGGACCCTCCCTAGTTTTCCAGAGACTAAAAAGAGAGGACGTGAGAAATACTTTCAGTCTTGCAAGATTCTGTTTAATGTAACCCTACAATAAGGATGCTCCTGGTTGTGCTTCTTGTCTGGACTATCTTGAAGGGCTAACAATTTCCTACACTTTCTTGCAGTATAAGAAAGCTTACTATGTCTCTTGTCCTGAGAAATCATGGCTCAGTTCCCCATTCATCAGTGAAAGCTTTTGGATACCAGAAATCAAATTGTGATCTCTCAGCCAGAATTGCTTGGAGATAAAAGTTGAGATACAACAGCTTGAATTCTTTGAAAGAATGGCCATGCTTCCAAAGCTGTAGTCCAGTGCACATTTAGGAATTAAGTTTTAATATATGAAGTAGGGCTAACTTCTGAGAAGACATACAGAAGTCTAAGCTGTGTTTTTTCCCTATTTGATAAATATGAAAAATAGAAGTCAGAATCAAAATAGATGTAGTTAACATTATTGTAGACTAGAAGTTTATGTTATCCATATTTTTAAGAAAAAAAATTCAGAAGATACTTCACATAAGTCACTGAGAGGAAAACCCTTTCATGTAAAGTTTTCCAAATAAACTTTCTTCTTATTTGTTTTTCCTTTTAGTTCAGCAAAATCAGTGGGGGAGGGAGGAAGCACCAATAAAGGCATCGTTCCCCTCTACCCAGAGGCCATGATGGAATAGGCTGGGCCATGACTTTTTACTACAGTAGGAACAGGGTCTGGTCTACATATATATGTATCAATTAATTTAATAATATATATTAAGTGATGAGCCTGTTGCTTAGCGTAATATAGAAAATTATCTGGAATCCATAATTCAAATGATCTTTAATATATGTTTAAATATTGTTAATTTTCTTTCAAGAAGCTTGCTTTGAATTGTGATGATTCAAATCTACATAATCTGCTTTTGTAGTTTATTGAATTAGATGTGCTGTAAGTGTCCTGTGTGCTTCTAGTGAAGATAAATTACAAATATTCGCCAATTTGGAGATCATGATTGTGAAATTTTGTTATTTTTCTATGCATTATATTTTATTTGGACAATATCTGAATTCTTATAATATTCTAGTCATAAAAATGAGTTGAACAGAATTTAAAACAACTGCTATATGTATTCATAAACGTTTATATTTTGCATATGGGTATCATACATTCATATGAATGTTATACTAATATATTGTTTTTAATTGTTTTTTTCTGCCCTTTATCTGTTTCTTCTATGCTGTTCATCAACCAGAGTCTGTTTGGACTGGTTCAGGTTAAATTTTTTGTTGAATAAACAAATATTGTCCAAAATACAAAAATTAAATACTTGTGAATAGACAATACAGTAGAAATTAACAGAGGAACTTCATTAGAGCATTTGTTTGATTGCTTTCATAAAATTAGGTCATCCTTTAGTCCACCTATCAGAGGCAGGTTTGACTTCAATGTATGACATCCTAGGGAGTCTGCCTTGGACCCACCAATACAGTACTAAAATCCTCTCTTGGTGTGCCAGTGTTGGCAAACTGAATCTGTTAACCACTACTTCAATTTCCTGGTGCTCTGAGGAGGTAATATCATGACAATGTACAATAAAGTAGTAAGTCATCAATATCAATTCACAGTTAAAAATAAACCTAAAGCAGAGCAGCATTTTTTTTTCAGACTATAATAACTAAAATAGAAACACAATGGGCTAAGACTTGGGGCAAATTAGTTTCTGAGTTGGTATTCATGTTTCAGTCATCCTGTTCCCCGTTCCTACCCAGTAGGATAGAATTGATTCACTCTTACCTCTTTTTACAGTCCTGTAAATTTTAAATTGATAATGTTCATACTTATTAATAAACATTTTTCTTCACTACACCTTCAGCTTGTCCCTCCTTTTAAACCTCAAGTGACATCTGAGACAGACACTAGATACTTCGATGAAGAGTTTACTGCTCAAACTATTACAATAACACCACCTGAAAAATGTAAGTATCTCATTATTAAGGCAAATGGGAGGAAGGGAATCCATGTTTCATTTATTTTATTATGAAGTAACTAAGACATCTACCTACTGTCAGCAAATAATAGTGTGTAGTTTGTGAGTGTTAGCGTCCAATGATGATATAAGCCACTGGGGAGCATCCTTGGGAGGCGGAAAAGTCAGCCGGGGAGAAGAGAAGAGGGTTGATAGCTCACATAATCAATTTTTCCCTTCTTCTCTCCTTTCTGGCACCCTGTATTCTTCCTGGTTTCTTTACAGTGGGTGTCTTAAATAGCAGGGGGCTATGTCATTCATGCTCAGGAGGCCCATAATTGTCAGGATAGAGATTTTATGAGGTACAAAGGACTGCAGGGGCCGGAGGGGAAGAAGAAGGAGTTATTGTGCTGCCTTCTACTTGTATAAGCATTGGATATATCTGAAGCTGTCTAACAGATATTATAGCAGGAAATCTTCAACAGTGACTTTTTAAACTTAATGATGTACTCTAATCCACTTTAGGAGGATGAGAAAGCCCCTGTGATGAATACAGGATGGGTGGGTGGGAACCAGTTCAACTATTTGAAGCAACATCACAGTAACGCAATTTCTTGCCTCTACTGAGTAGTATAGAGCATTCTTCTTTTGTAAACCTATCACAGAAGAATTCTGAAGACTTTTAACATTCATATTTCATATTAGGCCTGGTAATTAATCCCATTCTATTTAGTCCATTCTGCTTCAAGTGCTAGTATTTGTAAAAATAGTCTTCAGTTTTACAAATCTCCACAAAAGATCATAGCAAACATTAATACAAAAATCATTTTACATTCATAAGTTTCATGTTTTATGATTTGGCAACTTGAAGTATAAATTGTATATTAAAATCCTCCAGCTATAAAACTTGAAAGCCACAATGTAGAATCTCTTCACATAACTTCATTGAGCTAATCTGAAAAAATGCATTATCCTTCTGTAAATTGTAGTTTTAGTTAATAATTAAAGGCTGCAGTGAAAGTTCGAGACCTTCTGCATGCACAAGCCTATTAAGACAGCAAAGTCTTTTTTTTAAAACAGTATCATTGTAATTATAAAATACATGCAAAGCTTCTTATGTCAATATAGAGGAACATATTTACCATTTCTTCCTGAGGCTACCTTTAACCTTCAATTCCACAGATGATGAAGACGGCATGGACTGCATGGACAATGAGAGACGGCCACATTTCCCTCAGTTTTCTTATTCTGCAAGTGGACGGGAATAACTTCCTGTTTTGTATTCCTGCTATACAGACATACTCGATTTATCACTGAAAATGATTCCTGAACATCACCACCAGTCCTTGCTATTATTTAGGAGAGCAGAGCACTTTCAGAAAGCATTCCAAATTGACCAAGTTCCTTTTCTGACGAATCAGTTTATTTGATTTATCTGCATGAGATTTTATATTGGTCTAAGTTGACCTGCTGTTACTGCTGTCTCAGCATGAAAGTCACAGCAAAAAGCATTCCCCAAATATGGTGATATTAGATCGCAAATTCTCAGTTGTGCACAGCCAGCTCTCGTTCTCTTGCCTTCACAGAGCAGAGGCTAAAGGGCATGTTGGTCTGTGGTGCAGTCCTCCCTCCCTTTTAGAAAAAAGGCAGATCATAATTCTAAAACGTGACTAATTAGGATGTTTCCTCAAGCCAATCGGAGCTTGAAAGAACTAGGAAATATTAGGTGGTGGTGGTGTACATATGCGAGGTTTTGGTAGACATATGTCATC